ATCATAGAGGAGGATATTGAAGATGAATGCATCAAGCCAGGAAAAAGAAAAAGGTCTCTGCTTTGTGACAGTGATGACAGTGATGACAGTGATGACAGTGATATCCTAGTTAGAAAAGTAGGTGCCAAACGCCCCTGCAGGATGGTTGAAGATGAAGGTTCTTCACTGGAAATGGAACAAGAAACCCCTGGAAAATCACCAGCTGCTCAAAAGCGAGAATACTACCAGAAACGAAAGGAACGCTCAGAAAGATCACGCCAGAGACAGAGACGCAACAGTGGTAAAAGTTTTGAGGTGTGTTTTATTTTGTTGGTTTTACTGCTGTTAAATTTTTACTTGAAAGTAGTTTTTTTTAATATTAAAGTACTGAATCTATTCTATTTACAATAAGTCTAGAATTTTAAAGAAGCATTTCTGAATGTTATATTGTATTATTGTGTTTGATAATAACATTTTATTATGAGCCTCACTCTTTTTAAAAAAACATTGAAAGACTGTTCTGTATGACCTTTCCCATTCTTAGTTGCTCATATTCTTAATATTTATTTTAAACATTTTACATCCCATAAGCAACGTCTAAACTTCTTCAGTTTCAAAAGTTCAATATTTATCTTTAAAATATATGCTTAATTATATGGATTAATGTTTTGTTTTCAGATTTAATCTTACAGCAATACTGGCTGTTTTAAAAGCACACTAGTTACTGAAGCATTTATTTTCATTTAACTAGGACTCTGAAAAAGAATCTTGTTCAAGCGTTGATGAAGATGAGGATGATTACAAATATGATGAAAATGGCGATAATTATGTAATTGATGGTTTTGTAGTGCCAGATGAGGAATGTGAAGAGGAAAGTAAAAATCAACAAGGAGAAAATTTGACTGCATCACAACTGAAATTATTAAAACAAAATTCTCTTTGTAAGTTAAATATGAAGATGATGTTTTGCATCTTCTTCAGATCATTTTATAATGCATCAAAGCCTATTAGTATCATCTAAATCATTGGTTGGGCACTATGGTTTTGTGTTCAGGTATTTTTAATTTGACAGTAAAAGTTTATTCCAGTGGTTTTAGGAATTCATTTCCTTTTAAAATACTATTGACCCCAGAAAACAAGAAACTATTTTCATTGGTCTAATTTTGTATTTACCCCTGTAAATACAATTTAAAACACATTTATTAAATAAAATAACATTAGAAAACTTACTGTATTAACAAAATCATTTTATGGTAAATAACTATTTTACAAGAAGGAGTCTGGTATTGTTCTACATTCTTTGAAATACTTTTGAAGATATATTTTAAAATGTATATATGTGTGTACCTATACCTGTGTGAGTTAAGTACAGCACATGCATGCATGCAGGTACCCACAGAAGCAAGAGGGCATTGGATTCTCTGGAACTGGAGTTAGAGGTAGTTGTAAACCTCCAAATGTGGATGCTGGGAACCATACCCTGTCCTCTACAAGAGCAGTAAGCACTGTTAACCAGTTAGCATCCTCTCTTGCTCCATTCAATAGCTTTAATTAATGTTTATCTTATGAGAAGGCAGCTAGCTTCTTAAATCTGAGCTGCTTTCAGTCTGTTGTAATGTGTTTTGTTGAAGTCTCTGAAACAGTTTTGCCTCACACTGATATAAAGCTGGAAAGGGAAAAATATTTGTATAGT